GAAAAGCAAGGCCATAAATGCGTCCTGCAATTGTGGAAACGACTGACGATACGAACTTAAACAGAACTGCTCCCTCCTTAGAAAAACAGTCAGAATAGGTAAAGGGTTGACTCATCGCTCCAAGACCAAGCATTCGTGTCTGATTACTGGCCTCCTGGCATATTGGTTAAACCAAATATATTATTCTGATTTTAATAATGCGTGCTGATCAGTTATAACCCTCTCAGACCAAAGGCTTTTAGAAAGGCTGCGGGAATGTTCAGTATTTAATAAGAATTCGCTCCATGCGCGCACTGGTCATTTATCGAAATATAATCGACGATTTGAGCTGTTAAACTGCATGCAAAACGATCAAGCTCATCATATAAATCTGTTGGAAGGAACTGGTGACCGGAAGCGGCACCATTCAATTTCCGGTTCAGTTTAGTTCGGTCAGTTAAATAACTTGCAAACTGCTGAGAAGCTGATAACTTATAATTAATGTCAGTATCCACATGGCCGCTGCTGCCGTTTCCTGTAAAGTGTACACAAAGTTAAGGCCGCCTTGCCACGACGACGGTCCACTCTAATGGGTATACGGATGTTGTTAGTTTCCAGATACAAACAGGCACAACTGTACCAGCTCTCAACGATGTTTTGAGACGGCGCAAATTCCAACAAGTTTGTCGTCAATGACTAAGCGAAATATGGCAAGTTTGGTATAATAATGCTGTTGATGATGGCGATTCTATACCAACAAACACTGTCTAAAATTAAATTCAATTCACAGCTCAACCTTAAGTGGGGATACCCTCAGCTCGCAAGCTGGTTTAGGTTTTTCCAAGGAAGAAGACTTCATTATCATTTCACAAGGAGACCTTACATCCGTCGGGTCATCGATTTAACCGCAGCTCTATGTGTTGATAGAGACTTGGTAGCAGAGTATATTCCTAAAGTCCTAAGGTGCACAACTTAAAAATGAAGAAGATATTTCTTTCCAAATCTTCAGTCTCACTATTCATCCCGAGTTTCAAAGATGCTTTTGAATGAAAGAACCGACAACTCGTTCTGTGCAAATGCTTCACCGAAATAACAATAAAAATGAAAATTTAGGGTATCAGATTGAGCGTAACACCAAAGTCAACCATCTACAGGGTGGGGCAGAAGTCACGAAGGGATTTGAAAAATTAATAACTTTTTTAAATTTATTTTGTTTTCATTTTTTTTTTCAGGACCGTGTAAAATAAATCCTGGAGATTAATTATGGAGCGTTACAACCTCAATCAACGAACCAAACTTATAGAATTTTATTTTGAATATCACCATTCAATAATTCAAACTCAACGAGCATATCGTCGTCATTTCAATTTGCGGAATTCGCCCTCTGAATCAATGATTCGACGCTTAGTGGCACGATTTCAGCAACAAGGCACAGTTATGGATCTCCCACGAAGCGGAAGGCCACGTTCCGCAAGAAATGAAGGGAACATTCAACGCGTTCAGGAGAGTGTTCAGGAGAATCCGGAAACCTCAACCCGAAGACGTTCTGCTGAGCTGCAGATGTCTCAAAGGTCTTTACGCAGAATATTAAGAGGAAATTTACATCTGTTTCCATATAAAGTGCAGCTAGTGCAAGAACTAAAACCAGCAGATTTTCAAGAACGACTAACTTATGCAGTTCGCTTGCAAAGAATGGCTCGAGAAGATAATGAATTTATTCATTCTCTGATCATGAGCGATGAAGCCCATTTTCATTTGAATGGCTTCGTAAATAAGCAGAACTGCAGAATATGGGGTACCGAGAACCCAAGGGTGGTTCATCAAAGGCAATTACATCCGCTTAAATGTACAGTATGGTGCGCAGTTACGTCTCAACGAATTATTGGACCATTCTTCTTCGAAGACCACGATGGGAATGCTGTATCTGTAGATGGCGACCGATATCGTGATATGATTCAAAATTTCTTAAGACCAGCTCTTGCTGACAATCAAACGATGACTTTCCAACAAGATGGAGCCACTGCGCATACTGCTCGAGCCACTATGCACCTTCTAAGGCAGATTTTTGGCGAACGTTTAATTTCGAGAAATTCAGGATTCAATTGGCCCGCCCGCTCGCCGGACTTAACAGCCCCTGATTATTTCCTTTGGGGATATCTGAAAGGAAAAGTGTATATTAATAAACCCACAACCCTGCAGCAACTAAAAGATAATATTCGAGCAGAAGTAAGTGCTTTGGGGCCAGATATTCTGACTCGGGTAATGGAAAATGCTCTTGCAAGAGCTGCACTTTGCGAGGCTGAAAATGGCGGTCATTTGCGTGATGTAATCTTTCACACTTAAATTGTAAACAAACTCCAAACATTGCATTTTAGTTTTGTGTTAGGGAAAAAAATTAAAATTAAAATTTAAAAAAGTTATTAATTTTTCAAATCCCTTCGCGACTTTTGCCCCACCCTGTACTATATCTTGGCCATTTAAAATTATTCACCAGAAGACAGGAAGAAATGAAAATAGTGAAGAATGCAGAGACATGTTACAATTTTGTGGGACGTTCCTATGACTACAGACCGGCAGATCAATGGTAATCGTCCTGACGTCCTAGTACATGATACAAACAGTAGGACATATCAATTCATCGAAATGTGAATATAGAGTCGAGTGTCATATTGCCTCTGATGGAAACCATAACTCCCACGGTGTGGTGAACGTGACGCTCTCTGTCAAATTGTGGGTCACGTCTTTTACCACGTCGCCTTCTCATTCTTGCCCGAACATCGTGCATCCCCATACAGGAGCGGTATTCGTCACCAAGCACCACCTGATTCCATTCCCGGTCCCATAGAATTCTTTCTCTACACCAGAGCAAACGGTTACGCCGATGTTTAGCTGTGAGAGGTAGCACCCAATTTGGGCGATAAGAAAAAGTGCAAACTGTCGTATTTGGCGAAATACCGTACGCATACCAACCATCCCCTTCCATGCTTTTCAAGCCACTGATTATCGATGGCTCGAGTACTATTGAGTCTGTTTCTCAGAGCCAGAAGTCTCAACCGGCGGTCTTGTCGCTCTGTGGTCCTTCTGAGACGTCCAGAACCCCTCGGTGGCTGTCCTCGACATTTCTGAGTCGACGCTCGTTCACACTGCAGTATACTGCGTAAGGATCCGTTGGTTATCCTAGAAACTTCTCTTATCGATAGATCGGCTTTACACAACCCGACAATCCGACCCCTCTCAAAGTCACTTAGCTGGGACACCCGGCGAATTCTGAGCACTCTGGGCATTTTGACCAATCACAAAAAAGCTTCTCAATAAGCTACAGGAAATTTAACATTCAACTGATACAGTAAATGTACGAAAACTGAATGCTTCTTTATCACCAAACAATTCACGCAGCCACAACAAACACTTGACAGAAAAACTTGACGATTTTATCACTTGTTGTTCATAGAAAGATAAATCGATATGTAAAAAATTCCTGAATTCTGATAAACATACATATCAATATGATAAAAAGTATATTCAAAAGGTATATTTTCTTAATTGGTAGACTAAAGGCACAGATGTTTTAAATACTTTTGCTACCTATATTTTACGTTCTAATATAAATTCATTCAGTCGTTCCTTCACATATTCATCCATAATTAATGTATTTATTATAATTGTATTACACACCTTGGGTCTTAATACTCTATGGTATCATGTACAGTATAATAATACAGTCACCATTATTTGTTCAAATATGTAACATAATGTCTGTACGAGTAGTGGAGAGTGTTGTACCTTGGTACAATTTTCAGTTAAAAGTATTTTTTACAAATTTTTCAATAAACATTGTTTATGAAAGCAGTAATATATTAAGCCATTTTTATACTATTTACCATAATTTTTACAAAAATGAAGTGTTATGTTTCGATATTTAATTCAAGCCTGCAAATGCGCATTGTCCCGAGGTACGACAAGGTCGTGTACCTTGGACCAAGATTAATTGTACCTTGGGACAACATTTAATAAAACACAAAATAATACAGAAATATGTTTATTCAAATTTTGATTTATCTCACATGTTGTAAGACATAAAATCTAATGAAAAATACAATTGCTCCATGCGCCGTTCTGATCCACCGACTAGGGTAGGCTTTGGTAACTTCTTTTCTACATCAACATTGCAGATTTCATATATTTCTTCGGTCTTTACAAACTTGTTACTATTTATAACTATTTCTAGATACACAATTTCAAATTTGTCTTCCTCTAAATTCTTTTTATTTCTGCTATATAATGCCGAACAGATTTTTTCCTTTCAGTTCCACAAGTACAAAATCTCCTTCTAATAATGCAGTATTTTCAACATATTCGATCTCCATTTCATTGTTCGATTCTTCTAAGAGTTTTTGAAAGTAATTGTCATCTTCACTGCTAGAGTCTGCCGTTGGTATTTCAGATATCTCGTCTTCGCGACTTTCTTGAGGTAAAACGTTTTTGGTCACTTTTTCTACTTTAACCTTGGATTTTCTTATCTTTTTTCGTTCTTTTCTGGAGTCTCGGTCAGTATCCTGGATTTCCCTTTCTTTCGCCCACCTCTAGTAGTTCTTGGGGCAGCTTTGGGATGTGGCCTTATCATCTGGGGGCTTATATAATCAATGTTCTTATTTTGAGTTCCACTCGTGGAAGCCTTAGGTTTACCACAATTTGATTCTTTTGAAGGGCCAGGTTCTGAATATATTGAATCAATGGATGATCTAGACTGAACAGCATTTTGATCTTCGTGATTATCTCCAATCTCTGTGCTTGGATTTGGCAGTTCTGTAACAAAGGCACTCAAGAATTCATCATCTCCAAATACATCTGGATTAAAGGGATAAATGCCAGTCACAGAAAATCCTTTTGTAATATTTTGCTTCGTAAATGCTTTTGGATAAGCTTTTCTAATGATTTCAGAAACTTGATATAGAGAAACGGGTTTACCTGGATCTTGAAGCATCCATTCAGTAACAGCTTGGTTTTAATAGGTTTTATAGGGTCCAAAAACAGTGCGGTCTGATGGTTGCAATTTATGTGAGGTGTGCGGTGGGAAGGTAAGTAAGACAATCTTGTGAGATTTTGCCAGCTCAATTAAGGGAATGGAGACGTGACTCTCGTGGTTGTCAAAAACTAACAAAACAGGGTTTTCCTTGAAAGGCTTAACATGTTTTAAAAGATGATTCATATATTCCATTAACTTTTTTTCATTGGACCACCCTGAAGGATTTGCTGCACCAATGGTTCCTGGCGCAGATCCATTAAGCATGTGTTCCTTAAAGTGCACTCGTAGACAAACCAACATAGGAGGGACGTGCTTGCCTATAGCACTTATTGCAGCACTCATCGTAACATTGATACCACGTTCTCCAGAAGTTAGATCCGTGTTGTTTCACTGCTTTTGGAGCAATAGTACGAGGAGGAGCATGCACAGTAGTATTCCCAGTTTGATCTACGTTGTAGATGTTATTAGGTAAGAATATGCTTTTCCAGACAACTTGCAAGTTTTGAATAAAATTCACCATAGTTTTTCTTGTTGAAACTGGTAGAATAACCAACACTTGTTGCTTCTGGTTTTCTTAGGGACAAAGTTGAATGACGTTTTAGAAACCAACGGAGCCATTCCCTACCTGCTTTTTTCACTTCCTTCCATTATTCTAGCATCTTTTTGTCGTTGGCGGTGGCATACTGGTAGGCCAACACTCTTACTTCATTTTTGTTTAAATCATAATTCAGTCGTGCTGAGAATAATAGATATTCTTCAAGCTCCTTCTCTTCCTCAGATGTAAATACTTGCTTTAACTCATCTGCAGCCGAATATTTAAAATGTCTATTTCCAGATTCTCGATGTAACTGAATATGTCGCGCTAAGGCTGTTTTACCAACATTGTGTATCCTAGCTGCTTGTCTTAGCTGGATGTTATTAACTACTACATCATTAGCTGCTGCTTCAATGTTGGATGCATTAACGCCTTACCTTTTCTTGCCGGTTTTGCTGCGCGGCATAATGCTGAAAAGTAAATAAATATCTAAGACACAAGCAGCAAAATTTACAAATTACAAATAGGTAAAAATAATATAAGAATAAAATGTAATCAAAATTCTCATTTAAATGATGATATAAGATAAAGAATGCACACGTCATATGGTAAAAAAAATAACAGACTTTATTGCAGGAACGAAGAGTGGTTACAAGTATTGAACAAAATCTGTCTGTGCCTCGATATAATTCTAATCTTTATAGGAAAAATAACAGAGCTGTATCGGAAAAAAGAAGTAAAAAGCAAATATTTCTTAATGGGCTTGCTTGCGATACAATTCAATTTGTTGGAATAATGGGCTTGTACCACATAGTTATGTTACCAACAGGATTCCATAACTTATATTGTTTATTATAAATATTTCAGGTAAAAAAGGCTGTATATTGCATGAAGATTATTTAAAATATCAGCCCACGGGTCGTGCTTTCATCTTCATCTGTTTCATATTTTAAAATGTAGAATCATTTATGACTCCACATTTTATAAGCATGCATGTACCTTGGGTACATGCAAATCTTCGTCCCGAGGTATATACAGGGTGACTTTGAAGTTGAGTCATTAATTTTCAGATAATGATTGTAGAAGGAAGATAAACCAAAATATGTGTGTAAAAATAAAAAAAAAATTAAAAAAAAAAATGTTACCTTGTTTTATAAAGTATCCTCCCGACAAGTATTTCAGTGCGGACCTGTATTTGATCGTGCGGTCTTGGAGCACCGGCATGCCCTCACCTGTGAGGTCTTAAGTCACCTGATTCACGAGCCCTTTGTACTACATTAACAAAGGCACGAGGGGTTGGTTGCACTCGATTGGGAAACCAATCCGCATAAATTCGTGATGCCGCGGCAGCATTTTGTAAAGACTGATAAGCGTTTCAAATTCTTTCGCTTTTTTGTTTCCGATGCGATGAACCGATAAGGCGGATTATATCCGTTGTTGCCAAACACGAGCACATAATATTATTATTGAGACAGGGCGGTACTCAAACTTCTAAAGGGCTATAACTTTGTTACTTTAATTTTACCAGAAAAATGTTAAAGGAAAAAACATTTCTTTTGATAAGATCTACACACTGTTAAAATAAATGACTCAACTTCGAAGTCACCCTGTATAATAAGAATAAATTACATCATGTACGTACCTGGTTCAATATTCAAAAATCTATGTCACCGATTTGCAAAAACACAACAATAAAGGTCAAAATGTGAATTTGCTGCACATAAAACAAAATAAGTATCTCTTACGACGTGCGCGTTTCGATCACAACGCTCACTGAAGTATGTAAACTGTTATATTGCTCCCTTAACTATACTTGGCTATTTCGATTCCAGTATCACAGATGGCGATAATATCCGCTTTGCCCTAATGTACGTGCGTCCCAAATGTCAAATGTATGTATGTATATTTTTGTTCGAATGAATCACAACAACAAATAAGGAAGATTGAGTTAGTGGATTTGGCAGAAAACAAAAAAACTCTTCAACAAGCAATTTCGGACAAAGCGGATAAGGCCCGTAACCTCAATCTTGCAGTTAGTCAATTTAAGAATGTTTTTTTGTGCATGTAGCAGATGAAAATGGAACAACTCAAGGATCCTGGTGCTGCTTTTGAAATGGTACCTGCCATCAAGTAGTAGTAGTAGTAGTAGTAGCAGACATTTATTTACTTTATCTCTCTATTGCATGATTTATTTGACATGTTTCTTTGTCCTAAAAAAATTATTACTGATGAGTTATATCATTGGGTAGTCAAAATAAAATATAAAAAATGTGTCAAACATATTTTATTAAAAAAGTGGTACAAAATTTTGTTCCCGCTTGGGAACATTATGGGTATGGAGTACAATAAGTTATTTTAATTTATATGGTACTCTACAAAACAATTACTTTTTGCATAAAAACAAAGATGGACTTTACATTTTAGACATAAAACTCGACTTTTTCCCTTACAACCTTGGTTCTTGCATCTTTCACGGTTTTCCGTCCATTGAGGCCAGTGCTCAACATCATCATACCTGACCTGAGTGCTTGGAGTAGGTTCCTTGCATCTTCTGCTTCGGTAACTAACTGCAATTTGAACGGATGTTGCTCTACCTCGCTTTCTAGAATTTTTTACAACATTACACTTTGCTGCAGCGATTTCGGTCTTGAATTCGAGTAGCGATATATTTATTTCGTTCTGGCTTGCCCAATTGTTTATTTATACGTTTGTCTAGGAGCCACGAATTTACGATAGCAACATCAAGCATGTGATAAAAAAGGCGATGATACCATTGTTTGCTTCTGATGTTTGGGCAAGTGATTTCAATCTTTTTTTTCTGCTGTTCTGCTTTTTGAATTTGTTTTTCATCAGGAAATCTGGTAGATGATTTGGGCGCACAGTACCAACACTTTCAATTCCTTTGTTATTTAGGTAAACAACAAGATTTATTCCTGCCAAATGATTATCAAAGTAGACCTTGTGATTCAAATTTTCTGGCACAATTCGACAGAGACGTACAATAACACTGCTGGCGGCTCCAAGATTGGGTTCGTTCGGAAGTGTTTCAATATCTTGTTTACGTGAAAACAACCCCAAATTGTAAGTAAAACCACTTACGCCAGACAAAACCCATATCTTATATCCCCACTTATGGGGAATTTTAGGATTGTAGGTTTTCAGAGGAATTCGTCCCTTGAACGGAACAATCTGTCCGTCACACGACAAATTTTCTTCTAAAGGTACTTTCTGTCAAGCTAATTTCAACTGGTTGAAAACCGGCATAATTTTATCTGTGCTTGTGGTAATCTTCTGGTTGTCAGTGAATTGAAGAAATCTTTTTATTTCTTCAAAACGGTTAACTGGTATAACATCAGCCACTTGGTCGATTCTGGTGGACCAGTACCGCCTTGAGTTTGGCTGCTTTATAAGTGACATCCATATGAGTATACCTAGAAATCGTTCCAATTCATCCTTCGAAAATTGGAGTGGCTTATTGAGATGTACTTGAGTGCTGTACAAAATTGGCTCATAAACAACTTTGTCTAAAAAGACATTACTAAAAATTTTTGTAAGGCGTTGCCAGCTCTAGAAACTCCTGGGGAGGTGTGGAACTTGCCCACTTCAATTCAGAAGCTTTGCTGCTGGAGGCAATGTTTGGAAGCAAATGGACTAACGGAGAATCATCGTCGCTATCATCTGAGTCTAGGTGCCCATCTTGGATTATTCTCCCAACTGGAATATCCGGCTCTTTGATGTCATCCTGCAATATGGAATCTTCACTGTCAGATGGAATGTCTCTAATATGGGTATTGTTTTTACCATAAAAGACTTTAGGTTTCACTGGGCAGAGTTTTTCCATGTCCACATCCATAAAGAGCATCTAGTAAAACAAATATTTGGATATATATTGGAAAAAACAAGACACTTTTGACAAACATATTGAATATATAGTATAAACCAAAGAGAACACCAATCCATATTCTTCCCACTTGGGAATAAAATATGTCCATCCAAAGCTAACCTATATTTTCAAAATATTATCGCTGTGCATAATGTTTTCACTCAGGAACACTAATATCTGCAGAAAAAGTAATTACATGCACAAAAATAAACATAACACCCAACCATCCTACGTATCAAATACATATTTAGAGACCATATAATAATTTTATACCATAAAACTTACCTACTTTATCATTCCTAAAAATGTATTGAAAACACCTCGAAAAGCATCAGCTGATTATACGATCAGGATGACGGATATCCTTACCTCGACGATGTATATGTGGCGCCATCTATCCAGCAACGTATAGACATCGTTAGACAACGTTCCCGTGTGGGAAATTGATGCATGCAAGTTTGGTAAATGCTTACGAAAAAATAGAGGAAGTTGTAGAATTTACTGTTCCCATTTGGGAACAATATGAAATAGAGGGTTATTATATAAGATCAACAACCACATAGAATGGGTAAATAAAAGTTTCAATCCACGGAAGGACAATACCTGTACATGGATCAGTTATATGGTGGCATGTCTTCCAAAATAAAACAAAAAAGCTGAAAGAACCCTGAAGAAAAATTTATACCAATTTGATGATTTCTGTTTATAATTATGCGTATTTTGAAATTGCTTTGAGTTTTGGGTACGTTTTCATTCAATTTTGGAGCCAAATAGAAACAAGATCGCTTCATTATGGTCTTGTGAGGCTTAGGGACAGTTTTTGCTCTAATTTGTATCGAGTATCATGGCAATGTGTGATTTTATCGCGCTCGCTGCCAACTTTGTGATAATGACTGATAGTATACTAAGTGTCATATAAATCCGAACACCCAGTTAAAATGGTTTTATTTTAATAAAAGTTGGTGAATGTATTTATCTTACTGTAAATAACAAGTGAAAAAATTTTCAGCGTTATCAGTTGGGCATTCCGGTTTTTATACTGCTTTTTTTTAATTCACTAACGCTCTAAAAATGAATATTTCAGCCGCAGTAAAAAATCAACGTTGGCGGATTTTGGTTCTTGACATCCTTTACGATCGGTTACGATGCCTAGAGTACGGAGACCTGTACCATTTCGTCAACTTAGTGAGGTTGATAGGGGCCGTAAAGTGGGACTTCGGAAAGCTGGACTTTCTTTTCGGGCAATTGCAGTTAGAGTGCAAAGAAGTGTAGACACTGTGGTTAGGTGTTGTCATGCATGGCTTCGAGAAGGCCGTTCGCAAAGAGCAAGGGGTACTGGACGCCGCCGTAGAACAACAGACCGTGAAGATCGCCGCCTAAGATTATTGGCCTTAAGGGACCGTTTCTCCACTACCAGGTCCACTGCAAATGAATGGTTTGCAGAACACGGAAGACCTATTGGCATGCGAAGTGTTTACCGACGAATGAGAAGTTTTGGCTTGTTTTCATACCGGCCACACTGGGTCCTCCCTTTAACTCGAGAACACCGACGTAATCGCCTTGAGTGGTGCAGACAACGGTCACTCTGGGATCAGGAATGGAACAGTATTGTCTTTAGTGACGAGTCTCGATTTTGTTTAGGCATGCAGGATGGTCGTGCCAAGGTTAGAAGGCGACGTGGTGAAAGGAGGAATCCACAGTTTTTTGTTGAAAGACATGTTCATCACACTGTTGGAGTCATGGTTTGGAGTGCTATAGCTTATGGTTCCAGGTCACCTTTAAACTTCATCAGAGGTAACATGAACGCGCAGCGTTATATCCACTAAGTTCTAGAACCCCATCTTTTACCCTATCTTGACACCCTGGCAGATCCAACTTTCCAACAATATAATGCCCGACCACATGTTGCAAGGGTGACAATAGACTTCTTTCAACATAATGATGTCACATGGCCACCAAGATCTCCCGACTTATCCCCAATTGAGCACGTGTGGGATATGATGGGTAGGAGATTGCTCAATTTGCAACGTCCTCCTCAGACTCTAGAAGCACTTCGAGAGGAGTTGGTGGTTGCCTGGAATGAGATACGACAGGAGGACATTGACCACCTGATCAGAAGCATGGCTAGGCGCTTTGGAGAATGCGTAGCACGTCAGGGTGCATCCACACATTATTAAAGGTCAAAGGGCTTTAAAGCAGTGCAATCATTTTAAAATTTTTATCATTTACTTATTATGCTTCATTAAGTACTTATACAAAATTTTATCAAAATAAAACCATTTAAACTGGGTGTTGGGATTTATATGTCACTTAGTATATGTAAAAAATAGAGTTGCTTGATATGAAATAATTTTGTTGCGTCATATATATCATTGGAGGAATATAATTTTGGTTTTCCGAACATTGTTTTTAAAGCAGTTCCCGGTAAAACTTCTATATCGTTTAAATACATTAGGTGCGGCTCAATTAAGGCATGATATACAGGGTGACTTCGAAGTTGAGTCATTTATTTTAACAGTGAGTAGATCTGATCAAAAGAAATGTTTTTTTCCTATAACATTTTTCTGGTAAAATTAAAGTAACAAAGTTATAGCCCTTTAGAGGTTTGAGTGCCGCCCTGTCTCAATAATAATATTATGTGCTCGTGTTTGGCAACAACGGATATAATTCGCCGGTTCATCGCATCGGAAACAAAAAAGCGAAATAATTTGAAACATTTATCCCGCTGTTTTTACTAAATTTTATTCACTCGTATTCAGTCAATGTGTCAGTCGGTAACGCGTGAGTGAATAGTGGTGTTTGTTGCGTGGCTCAAACGAAATAAGAAATGGCACATTTTTACGAAAATGCTGAACTTGTGAACATGATTCTTATTTCGGGGGGGGTCTTTACAAACTGCTGCCGCGGCATCACGAATTTATGCGGATCAGTTTCCCAATCGAGTGCAACCAACCCCTGCCTTTGTTAATGTAGTACAAAGGGCTCGTGAATCAGGTGACTGGGAGGGCATACAGGTGCTCCAAGACCGCACGATCAAATACAGGTCCGCACTGAAATACTTGTCGGGAGGATACCTTATAAAACAAGGTAACATTTTTTTTTATTTTTTTTTTATTTTTACACACATATTTTGGTTTATCTTCCTTCTACAATCATTATCTGAAAATTAATGACTCAACTTCAAAGTCACCCTGTATATAGTATGCATATAATTTTCTGCCTGTGAGGAATTTTGTATGCAACAAATCTAAGCTGCATGAACGTCCCACCTAAAATGTTGCTCTAAAAAAATCCTAAATATTTGATATTGTCCACTCTGTGAATTTATTTGTGTTTATATTGAAGGAAAGATTTGAATAATCGGGTAGTTGTCTTGCAGATGATGTGAAGAGTAAAAAATGCGTTATGTCAAAGTTCACGGTTAATTTTCTAGAGAAAAGATTAATGTTTTTATCAAAGTCGTTCTCAATTATCTTTACGCCATACCAGTCTTTTCCTTTATATGGTATTGCCGTATCATCAGCAAAACTATTTTACCTACACAGTTAATTTTAAATATATCATTCAAATAGATGCTAAATAAAAGAGAGCATAACATTGTACCCTGATGTACAACCCGTTTGATACATATTTCCTTACTGGATGATTTTGATAGCTTCACTACTTGGGGCCTTTTTGATAAATAACTTTGCATCAAAGGATATATTTTCCCACGAAAACCTAATTTGTCTTAAATATTTAACAGTAAACTGTGATTAACTGTATCGAATGCCTTTTTCAGATCGACAAATACACAAATAGATGGAATTTTTTCTTCAAGGTTTTGGGTGATTTGATTCGCTAGACATAGGGCCACTTTCACCAACATTATTATTATGGACCAATAGGAAAATACCTTATCGAAATGCAATTTGACGGAAGCTGTCAAAGGTGTCAGAATATCGGTGATTTCTATTAAAATGTTGAATAAAATCGTAAAAATTCGACTGTATTATAAACAAGACCACTTTTTGATTCCAACATGATGCTTTTGTACAGAAAAAAGAGGACAACTTTCATGTATTTTGATATACGTTATAGGTTTACATTTAACAATCCGTTATCCCCTCAGTGAATGGGAATGGGAGAAATAATAGGTCGATTTTCTAGCTGTTAAATTTGGCAGCAGGTTTGGTCGTTTGTTAATTCATGGCAATCTCGAAATTTGTTAAGTTCAATATATGTACTGTGTGTATATTATGAGAACATTATAGCTACACATACCTGTTGAATTGTGCGGATTTGCAAGAAAATAGAATATAAAATGTATTGCAACCAATTTCCTCATCTCTCTTTACATCATAATAGTAATCATTTGTAATAAATTCATGGGTTAATGAATTTCTTCAAAGCAATCAAAACAGTATGGTCGTCCCCATCCTAAAACACCGATATGAGTAAAACATGTTAATACCTACATCTCCGAAGTGCATAATGCAATTACTGTAGACATTGACCTAAAATTATCAGCAATTACTGAAAAATAAGAGCTAAAAAGAATTATAAATTGTGATTAAATATTGGTGGTTAAGGTTTTTGACTGGTGACTGGTGGGGATACAATATAGGGATGGCGACGATAGAGAAAGATTTTGCCCTGCCGGCCCTTGACATCGTTTCGAAATATGAAATTCTGGAAACGCTATAAAAATAAAAATGGATACACAAAGCCTACTTGCATATTTCAGACAAAAACAAAAACAACTGCCACATAACGATTGTCACCTTGACATCATTCTGCAATCTGTCAAAGTAGTAATGGGCTTGCCTGCTGCACGGTATACGGTATCGATATTCGATAACATATTTTTCTTTCAACCATGAATGCGTGGAAAAAACAAAATAAGGAGAGATCTAAAATAAGGAGTTATTGAAGGCCTAAAATAGCCAGGCGCTAATAATTCCTGGCCGTATTTGAATATCTAAGCAGGCACAGTAAAA